CGATTCACCCCCATCCTCTTATGTCTGAAGTCATTTGTCCAACAAGGGAGAATTGTGTTATTTAAAAATTGAAAAATATTTTTAAACATTTTATTTAGAATTCAGTTTATATCAGTTCAACAGAGATAAAACAGTGAAGAGGAGAGAAGAAGGAGTTAGAGTGGAAAGAAAATAAATGATGCAAAAAATAAAGAGATAGAGTTAGAGAGATTGCGCAAGAGATTTATGTAGGCTCAACCCACCACTTGTCCTACTCTTTTTCAGAAACTATGGCTTAATACCTTTTCTCATTGTATTCCTTCTATTTATAACAACATGAGCATTTACATAATTGATTACAAAATAGTACGTACTTGATTTTCTAGACTATTATAGGACTAGAGAATATATACAATTAAGGATGACAAATCATTCCTTATATATCTGATTTTTTAATCTATACTATGAAGGGAAAATATATGATTAAGAAAAATCAAATCTTTCCTCATTAGCATCCCCCTCTCAAATTGATGCAACGGGTCAAGGAGCATCAATTTGTTAACAAGAAATTGATGACATGGACGAGGAACCGCCTTCTTAAAAACATATACAACCTGAAGTTGAGTACTAACATGAGGAAATCATATTAGTTGATCATCATAGGCATTATAAATGGAATGATAATCGACTTCGATATGTTTGGTGCATTCATTAAGCACGAGATTTGAAACAATTTGGATGACATTTGTATTGTTAACATAAAGTGATGCAGACTTTGTTTGAGGAAATCCAAGATTAGCCAAAAGACGGTAAAGCCACATTATTTTTGAACAGACAACGAACATATCATGATACTCAAATTCAATGGAAGATTCATAATATCTTGCTTGTTTCTTACTTTTCCATGAGATCAATGAAGAGCCAAGAAACATGCACCAATCGGTGACGAATCGTCTAGTGTCAGGACACTTGCAATCGGCCTCATTATAAGCACTTAATCGAGGAAATACTCTAAAAAGAAATGATAAATTACGACACGAGGTTCCTTTTAAGTAGGAGATTATACGAAAAAACTACTTCCAGGTGAAGATGGCAAAAAGAATGTATGAATTGACTGACTTGCTGAACAACACATGACATGTCAGGGCATTTAATGGTATAGTAATTAAGGCTATTGGAAAGATATCAATACAATAAGGGATCGGTTAAAATATCGGCATCATCTTGATGATATTTACCATTAACCTCGAGAGGAGTATCCATTAGATTAGTTATTTGGAGACTAGCCACAAGAATCAAATTTGTGGCGTACTTGTGTTGATAGAGGAAGATGCCCTTAGGCGTATAATTAACCTTAAGATCAAGAAAATAATGCAAGTTGCCAAGATCTTTCATATGAAATGAAGCTTGTAACTGTTGTTTAAGTCACTCAATAGAAGCATGATCAGAACCAGTGATAACCATATCATCAACATACACAATAAGTAGAACAATACCCTCACTTGTGCTATGAATAAATAGAGAGGAACCATATTGACTTTGGGTAAAATAGAAGGCAAGTAAAGTGGAGTGAAATTTCTCATACCATGCCATGGGAGCCTGTTTCAAGTCGGATAAAGAACTTTTAAGCATACACAGACCCTTAGATGAAGAAAATAGGCCTTGAGGGAAAGTCATATAAATATCTTCAGTCAGAGAAGTAGGAATAAATATGCTAAAAGTGAGGCAATTAAAGAAGTATGTGAGGAATCATACGTGTCTGATGATTATCTATTAGGTGTTTAAGATATTCGATTAGAACGACATGGTTCAACAAGTACCAAATTAAGTGGCAGATCAAGTACCAAATTAAGTATCAAATCAAGTGGCGGATAAGCATTGGGAAAGGGAGTGTGAACCTATTATTTGTGTTTTCTAAAATATACATGACCTGGTTTATAACGTGCTATAGATTGAGGCATAATAAAAAAAAACTTTGGAAGAGTAACATTATCATTCATGGCAGGAGAAATACAAGGAAACGTAAACTGATTATAAAAATATGTCACATTCCTATAAAGGCGAAACATGTTAATTAGAGACATCATAACATACAAAACCTTATGAAAATGATTATAGCCCATAAATGCACATTGAACAAATTATGCTCCAAGCTTATGCCTCTCAAACAGAGGTAAATGAACAAAACACATACACCCAAAAGTATGTAAAGCACTATAATCAGGATAAATTTTAAAAAGATGAAAGAAAGGAAAATTAAAATCAATAACCATAGACGAAAGACGTTTGATCAAGAAGACAATTGTGAACATCGCTTCTACCCAAAACCGAGATGGCATAGAAGCTTGAAGAAGTAAGGTGCATGTTACATCAAGCAGATGATGATTTTTGTGTTCTACCATCCTATTTTGTTGACAAATATTGGGACAAGATCTTTGAGACAAGATACCTTTTTTGTTGAAGGTACTCCTGAAACTCATGAGACATATATTCATCACCAGAGTCAGAATGAAAAATTATAACACTGGCTTGAAATTGAGTTTCAACATATCTAAGAAATTTCTTAAACATAGAAAACATTTCAGATTTAGACCGAAGAAAATATATCCTAGTAAAATGACTATAATTATCAATAATCATGACAAAGTATTTATAATGAGCATGAGAAACTACATGAGTCATTCCCCACACGTCACTATAAATTATCTCAAAACTAATGGAAGTACGACGAACACCAACTAAAAAAGGAAGTATTTTACTTTACCCAATTTGCAAACTGAACATGAAACAAACGCTTTACAAACGTCATTTTTATTTCCCAATAAACCATTTTAAAATAAATGAGACAAAACGACAGTGTTTGGATGACCCAATTTTCTTTAAGAATTAAAAACATTATTACAAACAAAACATAAATGATTGAAAATAAATCGGAGTGGAAACAATCTTCCTTCTTTAGGCCCTTTCGCGGTCACCTTCCCAAACACCTGGTCTTGCACAAGACAACCAACACTAGAAAAGTTAACATCATAATTTTTATCTACCAATTAACCAACCGATAATAAATTGGAAGCAAGTTCAAGTGATATAAGCACATCTTGAAAATCAAAGTTTATGTTACTAACATTAGTGATAGATAATGTATTACAATCATCTATTTAAACTTTCTGATTACCATGATAAGATTGTAAATTATGCAAATATTATGAGGAACCCATCATGTCATTGGATGCACCCGAATCTAGAAACCATGGGCGAGAAACATTAGAGAACTTACGTTGAATTCCCAAGGTCGACATAGCGTAAAGTACCATTTGTTGAATCAGTTCAGGATGTATATTACCACTTTTTGATGTGTTAAAGTTAAAGTATTAACAAGTGTGAGTAGGGTGGATAATAGTCCCACATTGGATAGAAATGTGGTGACTTGAGCATTTATAAATAAGAGAACCCACACACCTATCACCTTAAGGTTTTGGGTGAGTATGTGGTGTGTCTCTTACAAAGGTTGCTCTAGAAAAAGTCTCACTATGTTCAATGCTCCCTAGTTGAAAGTCCAACAGTGGTATCATGAGCCTTTGGTTCGAATAAAGGGAACAAATTACTTGTATCAAAAGTATCCCCACAGGTTGTGGGTTGAGTGTCTCGTTGAAGAGTGTCAACGGCGGTACAAGGGTGCAGTTGCACAGTTGAAGTTTCCGCTTAAGGGAGAGCATTGTGGATAGACTCACACTTGAGGGAGAGTGTTAAAGTTAAAGTATTAACAAGTGTGAGTAGGGTGGATAATAGTCCCACATTGGATAGAAATGTGGTGACTTGAGCATTTATAAATAAGAGAACCCACACACCTATCACCTTAAGGTTTTGGGTGAGTATGTGGTGTGTCTCTCACAAAGGTTGCTCTAGAAAAAGTCTCACTATGTTCAATGCTCCCTAGTTGAAAGTCCAACATGATGCACCACTTTTAGAAGGACCAATTGCATAATTTGTAGCTGCATGAAATGTCTGCATCGAATATTGTGGAGGACGTGCGGAACACTCAAAGATAATATGTCCATGCTACTTGCAATAATTACAAATGCAACCGTCGTAGACTACGAGTAATAATTACTTGCAATAACTACGAGTAATATGTCCAAATTGTTTGCGATAGAAGCATTTAACATGTCTCATATAACGACATTTACCTTTAATTTGAGCAGCATATGCAACCGTTGTAGGCTAAGAAATAATAGCTTCATGAGATATGGATCTTGAGTAATAAGATATTGTTCCTCCTTTAGAAGTTCTCTAACACGTGTATCTAAAGAAGGAACAAGGTTTCTATTCAGCAAAGCATCTATGATAATTTCAAATTTTGAGCAAAGTTTCTTGAGAAATTGATCTCGACTACTTGTGTTGTAGACTTCTTAAATAGCTGCGAGTGAAGTCTTAAAAACATCGACATGTATAAAAGAGAGCGTTCTGTCCACAAATTCAAAAAACCAGAATAAAATCTTTGAAAAAATAAATTACGTTATTTATAATTATTTGAGCTTATTTAATTTCCCATGGGAAAAAATATAACTTTCTCACTATTTTCCTTAGACATGTCTAATTGACTCTATAATCCATTTTCCTTCTCATAATTTTTTATTTGAAATCTCATGTTAAATAGTAATTCTTACTGATAAACGAACACAAAAGTAACTATTTTCATTTTCCAAAGCCATGATTTCTCTTTCTATTTCTTTTTTTCAATAAATATCAACTAAACCTCTTGTTGCACAAGTGTGGCAATATATATTTTTAAAAGAAAATTTGCAACAAATAGATAAGCACTACTAGAAACAGTAACAACCAAACCAAATCAGAAACCAAATAAACAGTGAAAGAAAAGAATAGTAAAATTAGAAGTTCCTCCACCACTACCACTAAAGGCTTATTGTTAACCACAAAACAAAACCAATCCATTCAATTCAACTTCACAGTCCATCCAACCCAACCCAAAGAAAACCAAACCACTACTCTCCATAAAATCAATGGCAACAACCAAGCTTCTATTATCACTCCCTCTCTTCCACCTGCAACTTCTCCCCACCACCACCACCACCACCACCACCACCACCGTCAAAATCAACCCCTCATTCAATTTCCAGCACCGTAATGGACTCTCCCCACTCCGCTCCTTGGCTAACGATTTCTTAGGGGATTTTGGAGCCAGAGACCCTTTCCCAGCTGAGGTTGAAAGTAAATTCGGAGATAAAGTTCTAGGTAGTTACAACACGGAACACAAAATCCTCATCCCCAATATCTCTGCTCTTTCTCTTTCTCAGCAGGATTGTCTTCCCATTTCACCTTTACAATCTCCTCTTTCCGTAGACGATGCTAACCAGCTTATAAGAAAGGTAACTATCTATCTCTATCTAACCACCTATGGAAATTTTGTGCATATATCGAAACATTGAAAGATGTATCAATTTAGTATGGTGTTTGAAGTCAAGGTGTTTGTTGATTTTACTACTTTACATGTGATTAAAATAAATGTCAAATATCTTTAACAACGTCTATGATTAACTGATTGTGTAAAATATAAAACCGTCAAGTTCGAGTGCTTCAAATTTGATAGACACATTTAAAGCAAGCTATAACTATAGCTCTTTTTTCCTTGATAACAAATTATTATTACCCTGCAAAATTAATAAAAGTCCTTTTATCTTTTCTAACTTGTGAAACATTTTTCTCTACATTTATGTAGGTTTTGGGTTGGAGACTTGTGAATGAAGAAGGAGTACTTAAACTTCGATGTTTGTGGAAATTGAGAGATTTTAAATGCGGAGTCGAACTCATTAGCAGAATCTCTAAGGTTGTTGAGAATACAGGCCATTTCCCCAATATCCACATAGAACAACCAAGTCAAGTCAGAGCAGAGCTATGGACAACATCCATTGGTAAGCCTTAAACCATAGTCCTTCTTATCTTCTCCCTCTCTTCATTCTTTATTTCATCACTTGATTTGATATCAGATAATCCATAGGTTCTCATGTTGATTTTTAGAGCATGACATTTGAAAGGGTTCAAAATTTTGCAGGTGGATTAAGTATGAATGATTTCATTGTAGCTGCAAAGATAGATGCAATAAAGACATCAGATCTTGTCCCAAGGAAAAGAGTTTGGGCTTAATGCTCCATGAGCTACATAAAACATTTTGCTATGAACGTTTCTTCAACTAACTTTTGTTATTTGATGAAATCTATTATTCTTTGCTCTCTGTTTTAAGTATGTATACATGTTAGATGCTTTTTCATTTTTCTATTTGAGAAGTGTAATTTTGAGTTTGAGGGTTCAAGGGTTCAACTAAGAATTAAACATTAGTCCCTCTCTTCCAAATTATAAGATGTTTTATAGAGATAATTGGTATAATTCTAATGAATTAACATTAATATTTACTTTTCTATTATGTTCTTTAAATTTTTATCTCCAATTCTTTGAAGGTTTAGTATTGGTTTTAGTCTTATATATTAATTTCAAGGTTTATTTTATTCCTTTAATTTTAAAAAGTTACATATTTATAATTTAACTCTTTAAGATGCACCATGGCAATCATTTTCTTCTAATTAGTGACCGGCAAACTTATAAATCAGTTGTTAAATTTATTGGCGAAAAAGAGTAACATATAGACTAAAATGAATTCCGATATTATCATAGGAAACCAAAACATATTAAACCTTCTTTAAAGTTTAAATAATTTAATATTAAATGTCATATAATTTAAGATGGTTGGACTATTGTTTTATTTATGTGTGGGAAAATGGTTGTAAAGGTAAAGGAAACCATAATTTTTATTTTGATATTCTGAAATGTAATTAGACACAAAATTTAAAGTTTATTTTAAAATAATTCAATACAAAAAAAATATGATATTTAATAATTGAAAATTGGATGATATTAGATATCCAACTAAACTCCAAAATCCAAACTCAACCGTAAAATAAATATGACTGGTATAGTGAGTTTATTTTTGGGATTGCTCTTTCCACTTTAAAAATTGCTCCCACACATTAATGAAGAATCATACTTACTCATAAAATACAGATATATACTTCTAACTCATTCTATTCACACACAATCCATCTTTATTAAATTAGATTTTAATTTTGTATAAAAAAATTAATACAAAAATGCATTTTCGTATAATTTATAAAAATCAACGTTTGACGGATTTTTAATCAAAAACGCGTTAGACTGTTCTCCTTTTTTATTTCGCTTTTACTCGCTCAAACTCTCTAAACTCATTTTTAAGTTTCTACTTTCAACTTCCCATCAATCCAAGAGCTCAATATCAAACTCATATTTGACAAGTTTTAATTTTTTTATACATTTGTAGAAATTGGACATTAGGTTGTATAATAGGTAGTTTAAATAGGTTATTTAATAGAGCAATGTGTTTGATATGTAGTTTAAATAAACACGTTTTGAGAATGTTGAATTTCCATGCATTTATGCCGTTTTTTTTCTTGTTTTTCTGAGTTGCAGATTAACATGGATATGCACTTTCGTATTCGTTCTAAATTTGATTCTTTAGAAATCTAAAAATGCATTTTCGTATTTGGCCTATTTGCATTGTCTGCCTTGATTTTCATTGTGTTTCATCTGAATTTTATTTTTTCTGCTATGTAATGCTTGTGTGATTTAATTATACCCAATATAGATGATAATCAAGATAATTTAAGGCTTAAGAGAGTGTTGCAACATGCATCAGTTCATTGGAAAAGATCCTGACTCTCGCAACCACCGGTCGGTTCTAGTTCGTTTGATGAGGAGGCATAAACTTCTGGGATTTATGCATCTTCGACTTCGTCTTCCCGAAGGAGACATGTGCCACCTCCTGATACCTTAGAAGTCCCACCGGTCCAGGTTGAGGCACCTCAGGTTGTGCTTTTCTTGAGGAGTTTGGAGGAGTCCCGTAATCATTGTTGACTTTATATTCGGACCATGTTTTCAGATATGTGTGGGACGAAGAGGTAAAACTCACATGTATTTATTGTTTGAGACACATGTTATAATATTCAATGTTTCTGAAGATGATTTATTTTTATCCAGAACCGTGATGCTTTAAAATGCATAACCCATGGTCAGAATATTCAAAGTTTCACAATGTGTTGCAACTATCTGGATTGCGAGACTTATGCAGGACCAACTATTATACTATTAACCATGGTATGCTATTAGCGTTCCTTAATATATGATACTCTGAGACGTCATGTTTTCATCTTCCACATTGTGAGATGTAGGGATGGCAACGGGACGGGTCGGGGGCGGGTTTAACTATACCCGCACCCGCACCCGCCTCCATGTAACACACCCGCCCCCGTCCTCAAATTCAATCGGGGGTAAAAATTTACCGCCCAGACCTGGCCCAGGTAGAGAACAGGTGCACCCGCACCCGTCCCGCCCCCACCTGAAAAAAAAATAATTTCTTTTTAATTGCAATAAAAATTAATAATTTAATTAAAAAATTGATTATTTTAATAAATTAATTATTTATTTAATTAAAATTTTAATTAGTAAATGAATATTAATTTGATTAATTTAATTATTTTAATTGCAATAAAGGTATTAATAATTTAATTAAAAATATAATTAATAAATGAATATTAAAACAAGTAAAATAAGAGAATTAAACTAAAATGCATTATTCGGGGGCGCGACGGGGCCGGGTGCGGGCGGGTCTTAGTGTCTCCCCGCACCCGTACCCGTGCCCGTAATTAAAAGTCGGGTTTTCCCCGCACCCGCACCTGTACCCACTCAAACCGGGCTTTCCCCGCTAATTTTGGGGCGGGTCCCGGCGGGTCCGGGTTTTTTTGCCATGCCTAGTGAGATGTCTATCATATTGGACGATGGGTCATGCTTGTTGCATCTTCTAATTAGGGGATGGCAGATCACTCCAAGATTATTAGAGATGAGGCACTAGAGATGATGATGATCTATTTGGGAGCTGATCTAGGGGATGACCTGAAGAAGATAAAAGACACTTTGAGGGTGACATGCTAGGTTTAGATTCTTTGAGAGGATGTATGCACAACAGCTGACAGCGCAGAGCAAACCAATGATGATGATGATGATGAAAATGTTATATAACATAGAGTATATACACGGAGAGCATACTTGTTGTACTTGGTTGACACGTCTATGTTTGTGGCAAGAATGCATATTACATGAATGTGATTTACCTTAGATACTTCACTAACTTGGAGTGGATTCATGAGTACAATTAAGGCTGCTTGTTTGGTCTACCTGTACTCCAAGTTAGTTGAAGGTTATATGTGGAAGACCAAACAAATGTCAGTTAGCTGCACACCGTTGACGATAATATATTTACATCCTTTATTGTTTTTGTAGCATTTTCATAACACTTGTGATATGTCATTACTAACAATTCATATGTACCATTTTCAGGCATGAATCCTCCATCACTTCCCACACATATTTGGCTGGTCATATATCGATACCTACACTAAGGATATGCCACATGCTTGTGCATCCATCCCGCTCAGAGATAATCAGACGATTGAGCCTTTTAGAGTGTATCTTGATTGCATAGTAGCATATGATATACACTTCCATCTATACCACGATCACGACCTGACGTGTTTCTTGGATGACATAACCTTATACTCTGGATAGTTGTCTTATGGGTCATGTTTGATGTATCCACATCTAACTAAGTGCGGAATGCGTCCGTTTGAGTATCTGTAGTTTGTTTCAGGAGACCCCTTTGGTTCTGCTCCTCCTACTATGGTCCACAAAGGTCAAGATGTCATGTATAATGATTTCCTTAATCATCTAGTACCAGCTTAAACACGAGGTGTCATAGCTCCTAGCGGCTGGAGTTGTGCATACGACTACGTCCAATGGTATTAAAGAGTGTCACATCCTTATATAATACCAGATGCTCTGGTAGATTCACCTAAGCTAGCTTATTAGAAGATATTATAGAATATTCAGGTTAGGACAGATCATGTTGTTGATGCGTTGCCTGCATGTCCTCGTATTATGGTTCTTGCGTAAATGAGTATAGAAAAAGGTGTCTTTCTGAAAGGCTCTCCTGAAAGGACATTGTAGATGACATTCTTACAGAGGCACAACGACATTACAGTACATGAAACAACGTAGGAACAAGTGGTTCTAACATACACAATAGTATAATATTTGTATTAGGAATACTATTATCATTTTTAATTTTATTTTAACTGTATTATATATTTAGGATTGACTCATTTATATATGGCATTTTCGTCTTATTTAATACGTATATGATTTGATATATAAAAAAAATTAATATAATATTATAGTTATAATTCATAGTTTATTACGTCGGTATATTTTTATAAAAAAGTATAAAAAATTGTTGTCTAGAATAAATATAAAAGTATATATTCATAATCTGATACGAAGAAATGTCTCCGATCAGTTAATAAAAGTGTTTAAGTTAAGATTACATTTTAGTGCATCTCCATATTATTTTGAGACAAAAAGAGAGATGTGAAATTAGTAAGTCCGAAATGCACTTCCGAGTTCGTAGCACCATTTTCAATTAAAACTTGTAGGTTTAAATATGACAAATTATCGAAAATACGGTCAAATATATCAAGAGCCCAAATACTTTGAATTCCTCAGTCCCTAGTAGAAGCATAAGCATAAGCATACTGTCAAAGAGATGAAATTGCTATCTCCTTCCGCAACCGCTACTACTTACCTCTCATCTTCCGCTTTTCTTCCCTCCCACTCCAATGGTTTGTTTCACCTCACTCTTTCTCTCTCTCTCTCTCAATCTCTCTTTTCTCTTTTCTCTAATTCTTTGCTTTGCAGGGTTCCAAAATCTGGGCTTTTCTTCAGCTACCTTCAAATTCTCTAAGAATAAGGTTTTTTACTTCTCCAACTCTTACATTACATCTCAATTTCATTCATTTCTATCTCTTTTACTTTCTTCCATTCAACTCACGTTTTGATATCCCAACATAACTTACAAGTTTACCTCTTCAATATTTCAGGGACGATGCATAAGGAAAGCCGGAACCACTAATATCACCGCAAAGTTTGAGTTGAAGCCGCCGCCTTATCCGTTGGTAAGATCTAAACTTTAGCCAATACCACGGCCGTCTGTAGGGTGTGCAAGGCGGGCCACCGCACAAGACCAAGAATTTGTCATATAATGTTTGTTAGATTAAATAATTGTTAAATATGATCTCTATTTGTTTTGTCATGGTTAAACTGCTAGCGGATGAAATGATCAATTACATTGAATGATTAACGAGATTCGTGTGGTTCTTGAAATGATTAACACATGTCGTGCACGTGCTGTTATAATACATGATTAACTGATATTTCCGCAATGAAAATTCTCAGGATGCTTTGGAGCCAATTATGAGCCAGGATACATTTGAGTGCCATTGGGGAAAGCACCACAGAGCTTATGTAGATAACTTGAACCAGCAAATTGATGAAACAGATCTAGATGGGAAATCACTAGAGGAAACTATAGTTATAGCGTACAACAATGGCAACATTCTTCCAGCTTTCAACAATGCAGCACAGGCATGAATATATACTTATAACCATAAATCCATAATGAAGTCTAATTCATCTTTCTGAACCACGGCTTTGTAATCATGATCGATTTATTTCAGGTATGGAATCATGATTTCTTTTGGGAGTCCATGAAACCTGGTGGTGGTGGAAAGCCATCGGGGGAAATTCTAAAACTGATTGAAAGAGATTTTGGTTCATTTGAAAATTTTGTTGAGCAGTTCAAGGTTGCTGCTGCAACACAATTTGGTTCTGGATGGACATGGCTTGCATGTGAGTAAATTACCCTTCCTACCATATATTCATTTCTAGGATTTGTTTCTTTCTTGGTATATCTAACTTAGCGGCCTTTTCCTTTTTTCTTAATGTTTTTCGTTTGTCGTCTATTAAATACAGATAAAGAAAATAGACTTGATGTTGGAAATGCAGTAAATCCTCTTGCAACTGAGGAGGATAGAAAACTCGTTGTGCTGAAGAGTCCTAATGCCGTGAACCCCCTTGTTTGGAACTATCATCATGTAAGTAGTAAGAACTAGTTATATTATTGTTTACTATTCACCATCATTATTAGTTTTAAAAATATTTTGAAATACAGGTGTTGTGGTAGGATAGAATGGTTATGAGTATTTCACGATACATATCAGACGTATCTCAATTGGATACAAAAATGAACTCAATCGATACAACTCTCTAGTGTGTATCTATTTTAAATATGAATCTCATTTTGAATCTTGATTCATTATGAGTTATCCCGATTACTCAGATAAATATTAGTAAACTAATTCGTTCTAATGAATCACTATCTGATGAGATTTCATTTTGATTTCTTGCAGCCACTCCTTACCATTGATGTATGGGAGGTATATTAATCAAACTTTTCTGTTAATGATTCAATGGCTTTAAAAATATTATTTCATCAAATATTAAATTACTGACTCTGATATGTGCATTTCACTTTTATACAGCATGCTTACTATCTTGACTATCAGGTGAGATGTAGTTCACAGCATTGTACAGTGATCACTATATTTTGAGAATTCTGTTTAATTAACAATGACTATGCTGTTATCTTTGCAGAACCGGCGACTTGATTATATATCAATGTTCATGGATAAGCTTGTGTCTTGGGAAGCAGTCAGCTCTAGACTTGAGAAAGCCAAGGCCGTAATTGCAGAGAGGGAGAGAGAGGAGGAGGAGGAGAAGAAAAGAAGAGAGGAGGAGAAGAAAATAAGAGAGGAAGAAGAGAGATTAAAAAGGCGCGAAGCTTGGCATAGTGATACTACTGACACATTTGAAGATAGTGATACTCCTGACATATTTGAAGATAGTGATAGTGACGACTAGAATACATAATATGAGTTTTTTTGGGTCTAGAGTAGAGTTCAAAATGGCTTATATTATGTACCAGTTAGGTTTGTATGTATACAGATTCAGTGGCTTCTAGCTGCAAATTTTGCTGTCGTCAGTCTAAATTAATGCTTCATACATGCATAAATGATATGAAGTCTTATCACCAGGATTGCATAATGGGATATGTCAAATTTCTTTTTATTTTTGACAGTAAAAGGATACGTTTAACTGTATTAATTATTGTTTTGATGGTTAATTTGGTATTGGTATTGAATGGAAAACTAACAAATGTTAATGTTACTTGTATCATTAAGGACAATTTACAATTGATATATGTAAGACAGTAATACCTATTTCAATTTCTTCTGTCAGATAAAATTACACTGCAAAAGCTCTTTTTTATTATTATTTTTTATTTATTTTTAAACTGCCTTAGTTAGATCAGTGTGAATATAACTATTTTTTACACACAGGATACTACCCTAAGTGAACAAAAAATTGTTATGTTTCTATCATCTTATTGGTGATATCTTCATCGACAAAAGGTTATCTAAAATCGAAGTCTCTCTTGTATCAGTAACTGGTGGTCCAAAAACATCCCAAAAGCGAAGAGTCTCGTCTCCCCCAGCTGAAACCACTGTTAATCCATCTGGACTCTGCAAAACATAAGAGCAATTGAGTAACCTAAAATAATCACCTTGATAATATTTAAATGGTTTTGTTGAAAAGAATCCCAAGCACTATATAAGATGCTGTTTCTAAATGAATGGTTCACTTGCAGCATACCTGAGATAGATGAAGGACTCTGGAAGTATGAGGGTCCAAGCCTCCAACTTTAGTCATAGAAGGATACTGCCACAAACACAGTTGGTTGTGTTCTGCACTTGTACCAAAGCCATGGCCGCTTAATATCTCTTTGTGATGTCTATTCCATTGTAATCCACAAACCTGAGCTTTGGTATCTATGCTGCAAATGTTTGTTCCCTTTTGTACATTCCACAACTTAATACATCTATCGTCTGTGCCGCCTCCAGAAGCAAGCACAGCTGGATCATAAGGGCACCAAGCAAGAGCTTTCACTGCAGCACTATGGTCTTTAAAACAATGCAAGAAGTTTGACGAGTTCATTTTATTTAACTCCCATACATAGATGTGATTTTCATTACCACCACTTGCCAATAAATTGCCCCTTTTCGACCATTTTAAACCGCAAATTTCTGCTCTGTGTGCTTTTACCCGGGAAACCTCATTTCTTCTTGCTCTTACTGCATACAAGAACATCAAGATGTTATGTTGTAGCATTTTAACAAAAGCAATCTGTGTTTATACATATTACATCTAAAAAACTTAAAAAGAAGATATAAATCTAATTACCATCATGGTTGATTATAGTTTTGTCATGGCTTCCGGAAGTTAAAACATGGTTATTCCATGCTAGAGTTGCTATTCTTTGACTATGACCTTCTAGATTTCTTACAGGCTTGGAAGTCTCAGCATCCCAGAGTTGAAGTTGAGAGTGCACAAAGCCTGTGGCCACATATTTTGCATCCGTTGACCAGGAAACACTTGTTGGATAGTTATTGCCAGTGGCTTTAAACAACAAAGATACATCAGTAGTAACTGAGTTCCAAAAGTACATTTCTGTTCCCAAAGCAACAGCCAGAATGTTGTTTTTCCCCCAATCCATAGTGTTTGTGTAGTAATCATTTTTTATTTTTGGTGCATCCAATACCCTTGATTCCTTCTGCAAGCATATTTTTTATTCAATTTATCCAATCAGAGTACAGCACAAGATTAGGAAAATACAAGCCAAACTAATTTTTTCTGTTGTTCTATACAATTAGTTATTCAATCGAAGTTTAACACACCTGCTCACTGATCCTTTTTAAGGAATGTGAATATTACCATATGTTATGATTTAACTGTAATAATATAAGCATAAATGACCTCAAAACAAAATAAAATCACATTACATCAATTTCAGCTTTCTTCCTCAGAAACCCAAATTCCAGTTATTATGGAAAAAAAAATATTACTTAGTAGCAGACATCATGTGCACATATAGGAAACCAGTATTCCAAATTAATAAAAGTTGGTGCAATTAGTTTTTGGAAGAAACTAGATTCTGAAATCATATCTCACCATCTATTAGTTTCCACCAAAAAATTTAACTGTTAATTTGCTAATGACAATCTATTCAATTCTGAAACCATGCTGCTATGACCATAAATTATGTTGCACTAGAAATGGTTTTAAAATGAACATTTTGAACAAGGGTATTGGATACACCAAAAATAAAATGGTTTTAAAATGAACATTTTGAACAAGGGTATTGGATACACCAAAAATAAAATGTGAAATCATGCTGTTAATGACAAGGAGAGGCGTATTTTAGTTCGACAGATATGTATTCTATCACCCTAAAGTCATTTAACTAACGGATTAAATTGTAACATATTGAACATGAAACTGTATAAAAGTACATTGATATGAACAAAACCTTAGGCAGCCTTCGACGGATACGTTGATTGCCATTGTTTTGAAGTGCTTCAGAATCCTCCTCTCGCATCTGATCAATATGACGAATAGATTTTTGACTTGATTTTGGACTTCCTCTAAAAACTAACATCCGAAACGGTTTTCCTTCGGAATCAAGATTCAGCTTATCATCCAATTTCTGTCTATACGCTTCCTGTCACGTAATAATATATTCAAACCAGAAATAAGAAAGTACTCAATCCAGAATCTTGAATAATAGACAAGTTGATTGATTTGAACATGAATGAACTCAAAGTAATTGAAAATTCGCCAAATTTAGAAAGAAACATACATTGAAATTAGGGTTTTGAATTTTTTTGGTATTGTTTGTGAGCAAACTGTTGGCTTGATGAAGGTTCATCAAACTTCTGTTGGGTATAAAGCGATCACCCTGTAGAAAAACAAAGAAAGAGAAATGAGAATCATGAAGAAGATGAAAATGGTGATAATGAAAATCAGTAGTATAGGAGTAGAGTAATGATACTGGAAAATCATAAATGGTGGGGGTGCTGAGTAGGCTTTTTGGAGAGTACCAATCGCAATCAAGATTCCACATTGTGTGTGTGTGTGTGATTTCAAGAATTGTTGAAAGAAAGAAACTAGTTTGAACCGTTGCTATGAAATCTATTATAGATATAGCCACAAAATCAAATTGTTAATGGGTATTTTGAACCGTTGCTATGAGATTTTTTATAGATTTAGCCACAAAATCAAATCATGAATGGAGATTTTGACAATAAATGTAGGCAAAATAAAATCCTAATTTGAAACCCTAATTTGGAGATAGGTGGTTACCTGTTCATTCCGAATCAAAGGAGAGTGATGAAGAGAGAAAGATTTGTGAATGTTGTCGGTGCATTTACCCGCCAAATAAGAATGAGAGTAGTTGTTTGATTTTACAACCGTTGCTATTTTTCACTCGTAGCATTCTATTATAGATTTAATTCATATTTTATAAAATCAACTCTTTCACTTTATCTTCATTTTTAGTTCTCATAGTACCTCCAGCTGAAGCATAAAGAAACATTCTTCTCTGAACTTTCAAACCTCTATTGAAATGTTGCATCTGTTTCATGTTATTAATGTTGCATAAAGTAACTGCCACGATTTGAAATAAATTAGGATTAAAATAAAATATTGTTATTTGCACCTAAACATTTGAAAAGGTTAAATTGATTGAGAAGGAGAAAAAACAAAATGGATTATTTGCAAAGAATTAAATGCTAGGTGAGGTTGTTCAAGATGATAGTGCATCAGAATTGCATGAAATGTTTTGGATTCGAAGTATAAAAAAATCAGTGAAAACAGAACTTATCAAGCTACCAAGAAAAGTACAAAGACCCCTTAGATACAATATATAATAAATAAATAAAAACAAAGCTAAATTTGGAAAAATTAATGCAAACAAACATTAATGATGTTTGTGACGATGAATTAAGAGTGAAAAAATTAGAACTGAGCTGGTTAGATCTTGGATAAGATTTGTCTATTTACTATTATAAATAACATTTTTTTAAGACAAAAGTTTCACCTCGAATATGTCAAACACCGAACTTATAGATCTTAAAGCAATCAATTTGATTTTCTTAAAACAACTTTTTCCTTCGATTTTATATAAAACCGAGGTAATATAGCAATAAGTGATCGTCAACTCTTCTTGAAAAAAATATTAAACATGATACTTCGATGTTTTTTAAAAACCGAGGTAACATTGCTATCAGAGAACACGTTTCGAATCCCTGTAAATGCATTTAGGAGTTTTTCAGTGATTTTTCACTTGGTATCTTCCAATCTTTTCTTTTTTTCTTACTATTTTTTTCATTTTTTTCTTTCTAATTAGTAATTCTGATTAGTAATTCTCAAATTATTTGTTATCTATAAAAACGAAAAGGCAATAATATGAAAGGAAATATTTCATTAATTAAATACGGGACAACAAATAACTATTCCACATATTCAAATTTCTGACTCCACTCAATTTCAATAGTATCACTATTAATTATCCCTAACTTAGTGGAAAAACTCAGAAAGAACTCTTCAATATGGTATGAAGAATTTCATTATTGGAGATGATTATCATTTTCTTTAAATAATTAGAAATGGTAAGAGGAAAGATTAATTATGATGTTCTTGGTAAGGAATAACAAGAGATACTTGTCATTTCAAGTAAGCGTTTCCAGTTTTTTCTCTCTTGGACGAAGATTTTACACTAGAAGTTGATACAAAACTTTTTTAATTGGTCGTAGACTAGCAGGACTGCTGAGATTATCGTTGGTTGCATAAATTAAGCGAATGAGATCTTTATATACATTATTGAATCTATAAGTGACTGAGTAATTGTGACAGGAAACCCATTGACATATGACTGAATTGACTCACCATCATGACCAGATGGTCGAACGGAGACATTTAAACATAACTATTTAACGAGATTAATGTAGATGGGTCCATTAAGAATGTCAAAGTAACTGTTCAATTTTTGTTTACAAATAATTTTCCTTAGATCAAAACCTTTGTCTTTCAAATCATTAAAATCAACAAACTTTTTATTGATTACAAACAAAAAATTTCATCGAAGATTATTAAAGATATTTTTGAAGAAAAGAAAAGATTTTGAAAATTAGGTTTGAAGAAACGAAGAGTTGGAAATGAGACGTTGAAATAAGGAATAATGTTTAAATAAAGTGGAGATAAGAATAAGAAGTGAAATAATAAAAAAAACTAAAACGTCTTGAAAATCCAAAAGATACGTTACATTTTTTAATATGGATGATTATTGCTACTCTTGTGTATATGATTTCAATGTGCGCCATGATTTTTTTTTTAGAAATAGAAATCACATGTTACCTCGATTTTTCAAAAACACTGAGGGGAAAAACAATTAGGAAACTATTTTTATTTATTATAATTTTTTGTAAGCTAAAGGATATATCTCATTGGTTTCCCTAATAAACGAGGTATAAGATACGCAACATTTTATTATAAAAGCACTCGTTAGACAGATTTTATCATAATTCTAACTTATATGTAGTCGCTTCAAACTCGTTATAAGTAAAAATCACATCACTATTTTTGGATCTATCTCACAAAATGGGATTGATGTTGTCGTTGTCATACTTAGAAGCTTGTAAAAGTTCTCTATGATGCATTGCAAGTGGAGAAAAACATTTTTTCAATAGAAGTTGGATGCATTCAATGTTGGGACCAGATAAATCTTTAGAAATTAGATGAGTGCAATATTTGGATCAGATAACTTTTTACATTAAAATTCTGATTTTGTTGTATTATTTTTGTTCAATATTATGTGTAAACAATATAATTAAAAAAACATGTTCGCCTCAGTTTTATAGAAACTGAGGGGATAACTTATAGTTCTTAAACAAATCTTTGTAGTTCATTTTAAGATTATCAACACTCAAGAAACTAGCATTAGTGAGTCGTGTAATTCCTAAAAAAAATTCATTGTAAAAGTTTTCTGATATCTAAAATTGATAAAGAAACGTCATGAAACGATTGAAACTATCTACATTCTCCACTTTAACTTTTGCCACTAGCGATGGATTGCAAGTGAAGAAAATTATCTGGATTTAAGGTTTGTATTCTTAAATAATCATATAATTGTATATTCATTTTATTTAGCTAACCTTTTTTTCAATATTAGAAACAAATGAATGCAAAAGCCACAGAGAATATATTGCATTCAACATTTGATCTTTCTCAAGATCAATGAAACGAGGATCCCCAACATTTTCTCTTCTCCAAAATATTTAGTATTTGTTCTTCACCGACATCGATGACAATGAAGAAAAACATTTTACTTTAATATTCTGTGTAAATAATGTAATATTTTGTGTAAACAATATAGTTTGTTAACAAACTAATTTATTAATATTTTGTGTAAACAATGTAATAAATTTATTATAAAAAAAAACTATCTAACCCCTTGGTTTTTTTAAATAAACCAAGAGGTTTGAGGCGCTCTTTGTGTAAATAATAAAAATGCAGAGGTTGAGGTTCAAACTCATGATCATATAACTTTACCCCTCAGTTTTTAATTAACCGAGGTGTTGAGTGGAAACTTTTTATGTCACCGTTCGTTATCTTAGCTGGATAGCCGAGGTTACATCTCTTTCGTGTGCGACATTATAAGCATTATTTATAGTAGTCAATAACACAATAGTAAATCATGAAAGAGTGGTAGAGTTACAAACTTTGTGGCATCTTCCAAATAGATATGGAGGCTTACAAGGATTGCTTCCTCACATTTCCTGAGATTCACCTATGTTAAACCTTGACATTCAACAAGGTGAAAAGAAGTAACCTTATGATATCTAAAAATATTATTCATTTCTTATCTTTACAACAGAAGCAATGGTGCCTATATATAAACAAAAGTACAACAGTCAAAAAACCAAAGGTTGAGGCTATTAAACAGAAAAGGGCCTATGCAAACTAAACGGAAATAAATCATATTTTAACACCCCCTGTAAACTGGAATGAATGTTCAAAAGTTCCAGTTTAGAAACCAAAGAGTTGAAGGGACCAAAATGTAAAGGCTTTGTGAACAGGTCTGATACTTGTTGCGATGAAGGAATGGGTTGAAGATGAATAATGTTATCGTGGACTTTGTCTCGCACACTGTGACAATCCATTTCAATGTGCTTCGTACGTTCGTGAAATACGGGATTATTGGAAATGTGAATAGCGCTCTGGTTGTCGCAGAAAATGGTGATGACACTGGGATGTACGATGGAGAAATCTTGTAACAAATGCAAAAGCCATTGGGCTTCACAAGTGGAGTTGGCAAGGGCGCGATATTCAGCTTTGTTGGAAGACCGGGAAACAACGATCAGTTGTAGAGCGGCGGGTCAGCTGGCAGGAGCCTCAGTCAGCATCTGTGAAACCTGTTAAGGCGAGGGTTGTGGCAGCGTTGAAGAACAGTCCATTGGCCGAAGTATTTTTCAGATAACGAACAATGCGAAGCGCAACAGTGAGGTGATTTTGGGTAGGTCGAGCAAGAAATTGACTGAGCCTGCAGACGAAAAAAGAAATGTCAGGGCGAGAGTGTGTGAGATAAATTAACTTACTTATTAACCGCCTGAATTGTGTAGGGTCAGGAAGGCAATTGTCCATATCTGTATGTAAATTAAAATTTGGGTCCATAGGAGTAGAAGCAGGTTTAGCCCCTAAAAGGCCCGTGTCCTGTAACAAGTCAAGGCAATATTTATGCTGGCACAGAGATATTCCAGCTGAAGAGCGGGCAATCTCGAAACCGAGAAAATATTTTAGAAGACATAGGTCTTTGATACTGAACCGTGTGTCAAGGATAGTTTTGACATGATTAATTTCAGACAAGTTATTACCTGCAAGTAAAAGTTCATCAACATATACAAGTACAGCAGTGAAATAGTTATTATGTTGTTTAGTGAACAAAGAGTAATCAGCTTTGGACTGAATGAAACCTAAATCAAGAAGAGTATTGGTAAGAGTGGTGTTTCATTGCCGGCTGGCCTTGTTGGAACTTTAATTAATTAATGGTGGAACTTTAATTAATTA